GGTAGAGAAAAGACTTACCTCACGGTAAGTCGCGACTTTTACTGGCCACGCCAGTATCAGTTTGTTCGCAAGTACATCCGTGCTTGCGAAGTATGTCAACGGGTGAAGCCTAGTCCTTCATCCCGTGCGCCATTGCAGCCTCTGCCTGTTCCGACAGAGTGCTGGCAGTCCGTTTCAATGTACTTCGTCTTCGGGTTTCCCGAAGACGCTCACAAGAATAATGGTATTCTTGTGTTTGTGGACCGATTCAGCAAGATGGTCCATCTTGCTGCTGTCCCTGAGTCAATCAAGGCTCAAGGTTGTGCTCGTGTCTTTATCGACACGGTCTTTAGACTCCACGGGTTACCCCGTGAACTCGTATGCGACCGTGACCCTCGGTTCACGGCGGAATTTTGGCAAACCGTGTTCCGTACTCTCGGAACACGATTGAAGATGTCCACTTCTGACCATCCAGAAACAGATGGTCAGACGGAACGTGCGAACCGTGTCCTCGAAGAGATTCTTCGCGGATATGTCCACTCGTTTCCGAGTTGGAGCGAATTCCTACCCATGGTGGAATTCGCCATCAATAATTCGGTGCATGCTTCAACACAGCACACACCGTTTTACGTGAATGGCCTACGCCATCCACGTGTGCCCACCCTTCTAGAGTGTGACTCTTGGATAAGGGGGAGGGACTCGCTCGAGCAAAAACCGTTTTGGCTCTTGCTCATCACGTGTCGACGCAAACGTCGTCACGTATGATGCCGATGTCGATCAAGTCGACATCGATGAAGAAGATCATCTCAATAATAGCGAAGACGCTATTATTGATTCGGATGATGATGACGATGCTGGTATATTCAGCATCGCCAACGATTATGCCAGCGAGGAAGAAGACAACCTCGCTGAAGAAGAGAGCAATCTCTTAGCAGTGCGCACGAAGCGCACTGACAGACAAAACAAAGAGTCAGCAGAGAACATCCTGCTGACTCGAGAGGCGGTAGTCTGTTTCGGTCAGGACTCCATCGCAGATGCGGTGGACCGCCAGAAATGGAACGCAGACAAGAATGGAAGAGCAAATGTTCTTTCATTTGAAGTTAATGACCTAGTACTACTGTCAACGGTAAACTTACCTGGACATGCAGTCACTAGTGTCGGCAGTAGTAAACTACTGCCGAAGTACATGAGGCCATTTCGAGTGTTGCATCGCAAGGGCAATGCATACACACTCGAATTGCCACGTAGGATGCGCACGCATCCTACGTTTTACGTGGGGAGGCTCAGGCCGTACTGTCAGTACGAGCCTTCTTCTTCCGATGAAGATAGCCCCCACGTTCAAGAACATCCATCAAGTTCTTGCGTTCGCACTCCAGACGATCCGTCTGGTCGCGCAGATATGATACCTCGGTATTCAACCGAGTTATCTCTCCGCGAGCTGTCGCCAGCTCGCCGAAAAGGGAGCGGACATCCCGCTCGACCTGAAGCTGCGCCGTGGCATAATCGGCGCGATCCCTCGCCCGATCAGCCTCGTGACCCTTGCGGTTCTTCCGCACGGTGTCGGTCAAAGCGTAGCGCCGGTCGCGCTCGTGCTTCAAGTCATCGCGCAATTCATCGATTGCGCGATCCATCTCGTAAGGGTCGAGATGGTGGGCCTGGGGTTCTGGAGGAGGTCTTTCCTCCTCCACCACATCCTTTGGTGGATGCTCACGGTGATCAACGCTTTCTAGTGGAGCGTATCTTGAATCACCGTGACGATTCAGGATCAAGGACGAGCTACCTCGTCCAGTGGAGGGGGTATCCACCCTCTTGGAACAGCTGGGAGCCCCGCTCTCAGCTGTTGATGGATGTTGAAGGTCTCGTCCGCCAGTATGACGAGACCCATCCGATGAGTCCTGTGGCCCATCGGTAAACACGCGCCCTAGGCGCTTGTAGACGGATTGCAAGTTTGCAATCGCGTCACGCATCTCAGCCGAGATGTGTGCCCTTCCCCAGGGCGAATTTAGGGAGTACACATCCCTATGTGCACGCTGCGAGTTGTCAACACAACTCGCACAAGGGTCTCCCCATGTGAGGCAAGGAATGCCTGCCTCACTAGATAAACAATGCAACCGGTACCTAGCACCGGTTGGCGTTCGGCTTTCGAACCTGAGGCGTGTTGCCTCAAGTTTCTTGAGCCACCCCTCTCGTCCAAAATTCTTGACGTTTTGGACGAACGCGTTCCACGCAGCCAAAAGCGATGTTTTGTCACGCTTTTGGTTGCTATTGTACCATCGATGTCTAAGGAAGACATCGAGATAAAAGTCTTCTTCAGCGCGAAAGTTCTTCGCGCTGGAACTCAAGCCGTGAAGCTCGGTTGCATCGAATAAGGGTATTCGATGGTGTTGGCCTGTCTCGTGAGACAGGCTATTGATGAGTTGTTCGGGCAAACGCCACGGCTTTAACTCATCACGCTTCACAGTGGTACCCTTGTCGGTACCACGGCTCCCAGATTGACGACGGCTTGCGCCATCGTCATCACGCTCGTGCGAAGACGCACGAGCCGGCGGTGGTGAAGAATAGAACTCACCACCCTGATCATCGTCATCACTGCCGAACAGACTGTGATGCGAATCACGAGTCCGTTCGTTCGGCAGTGGCCTTGGCGAATACTGAGGCGTCGCCGGTGAGCGAGACGCCTCTGGAGCATTGCCCGAGTCAGACACGTCTGACTCGCCAGAGTAGATGACCTCCACATCGGGGTCATCGTGCGCACGCGGCGTGATACCGCGTGCACCTGCAGCACCTGTTGCTGCAGGCGAAGAAGGGGCGGCAGACGACGAAGCGTCTGCCGCAGAGGCTTGCACAGCACCAGGCTGTGTGGGTCTTGAGTCACCTCGCATAGACATGTTAACTATGCGAGGTCAAGCGGAAAGTGAGTGGAACGGACCAAACAAGTGCTCCCTGTCCCAATGGTGGCCAACGGGTGGCCTCCATATTTCGATAGTCACACGGTGACTATCAGTTAAGGGGGGTGATGTAACGGGGCAGCCCGTTACATGATATTGTCACTTAAGGAAAGTGACAATAAAGAATATAAGATGGATATTCTTTAAACAATATCACCAAAGTGGTGATATTGAAGGGTCGACCAAAGGGTCTGTTCATTGGTTGATATCGTGATGATATCAACCCACCAATCGCCGCAAGACGCGCGCAATGAGTGGTGACGAGACGTCACCATACATGCAGTTATATTAGTATAATTGAATTAAGTCAAACGAAGAGACAGTAGTTTAAAGACTTAATTTATTAATATAACAGTTCTACTTTTACCCTACCTACGCTTCCTCGCTCGCCACGTGTACGTCCGTCGGGGCACCCAAATCCCTTGCGTTAAGTTACGCAAGGGTGTGCCCCGTTACAGAAACGCTTTGTTCATATACCAGACAAATCGTCTTACCCTCTTTTCTGCTCACAATACGCGTCAAACTTTACTTCGTAATGGAAGGTGGAAGCTTACCCTGTGAAACCGAGAGGTTGAAATGGAAATGAAATCTAACATGATTTCGATATAGCATAATCGTTCATTGCTGGTTGACTCTAAGCTCATTGGCAAGTCTATAGAATGGGAACTTACGTGCGACTAGTCAGCTGACGCTACGTATCTCACATGAATATTGCTGTGATTACAGCTTTTGCGTGTATTTGCGCCGCCTCATAAGACACTATCGAGTACGTTCACGTTTCTTATCTACCCACTAGGGCTAAAACGAGCTATCGGCTTATTTCCCTGAGTTGAGAATAGTCATGGCTGTGATGCATATTGATCATCTTTATGGCAAAGTGATTGATCGCAAATAACTTTGGCAGTCGGGTACGACGTTGGAACGCGTGGGTCGTGTTTTCCAATAAAGTACGAAAGGTTAACGTGGCACTGGTGACTACGTACTGGTGACAATACGGGCTGATCCCACTGACAACGGTGTGAGCTAGCGCCTTGCTACTCCACGTACACGTACGCAGAGGAAGGCAAAACTACCAAACGACATTGCTTAGTAGTAGGAAATGGAATGCTGTCATCAACATACAATTAATCCTAACTCTTGTCTTATCAACTAGTCCAAAGAACTTATCGTATTAGTATACAATCGAGCAAGGCGACGTCTGCTCACCACCCACTGCGCGCGTCAAGCAGTCACAATTATGGAACGGGCTCACCCCGTTACATACATGACTTGACGACCTACATTGACGAGGCACTGGGTGGGTGTGCCATTCAGTACACCCGGATGCCCGTAGAACGAAGCCGTCTAAGAGGCGCCCTTCAAGCAAATCAGTCGTTTGAGCGGCCAGAATAGAGCGCACGTGTCGAGTGGCAAGCTCTTACTTAAACTGTGGTGGAGCATGGCGCAACTTCAACACAGACACATTGCACCTAGAATACAGACGTATTGACATCTTTTTTTTCGTGGTCGTAAAAAGGATGCGCATTAGTTTTTTGGCGGATGAAGGGGAGAGCAGCACGCGCACTATTTACCACTTGGCACTGACGCGAGTATTTTTGCGTATTACTACTACTTCACGCTGCAGCTCTTGTTTGAATGATATCGCTTCAGCGACGTCATACTGCGAAACTTCACACTGTGTTCTCAGCAAATGGCAAGAGCGTTGGCTTTGTCACGCACAACTGTCAATGCGCTTATGTGGCTCGCGTCGTTAATGTACGCGGATGCGCATCGTAGCTTGCAATTGTACTTGTAACCCTTAAGTTCGTAGGCAGTCGTACCACGTGAGCCACATGTGTCGCCAAGAGTACCAGCGCGATAAAAAGGGGGTCGTATGTCTGTCTGTGTGTATATATTTATGTACGTACGTACGTATGTGATGAGGAGAGGGGGTGGATGGATGGATGGATGGATGTAATTATGTATGAACAGGAGTAGGAAGCCGAGTCCTCTGCATGCGGCAAAAGTGCCACAGCTGACAGCTGCCATTCCAATGTCCCCGACATTGGTGCGTGTCCAGCCCCTCCGCTTCTTCTAATGGCTCGTCGAGTTTGTCAAGCGCTTGGCCTCGAGCTTCGCCACCACCTCAATCTCTAGACGTCGAATGTCCTCCATCGAGAGACCGTACCACTCATCCGTCAGGCACTGCGCCTGACGCAATGTGCTGTGAAATAGCTGCCGCTGCTGGTCGCGAATGGTTTTCTCCGCCTATAAATGACATGGGCACCGAAAACATGTCAACAACAACAACCAGCAGCAACAGCTTGGCCAGTCGCTGTCGCAGTGTCCCATCGTCGTACCTTGCCTTGCACGCCCCAGTAGTCAAAATTGATGCGCACTACTTTATAGCAGGTCATAACGGGATCAACCGTCTTCATCCATCCCCGTCCGAGCGGTCCACGCGAAGTCTTGATGGACTTGTACTGCACAACCAAGCCACAAGACAAATGACGCGTTACCATCGTCTCCTGTCCTGCTCGCCACCCCTCACTCGAGCCACCAACCGTGGCCGGGTCGCCTTCATCCTTCAGCGTCTGCTTCGCCATCTTCTCGGCAATGTCCAGCCTTTATCACCCACCATCGCACACACGTTAGCAGTCAAATGAACTTCCAACGACGTACGACTGTCCCCCGCTCCGCGACGTACACTTCGACCTTCCGGTGACTGAGCTCGGCTTTGGTCAAGCCCAGCGCGTTCTCCGAGTCCCCGCGGTCGGCCTTGTGCGCGGACTCGATCGAGATGTAAAACTTGTGCTTGGCCAAGTACCCGTTGACAATGACAGTCACACAGTGCGGGTACGCGTTCCACGCTTCTTCAATGAGCACCATCGAGTCGTCCGGACAGCTACCATGTGGTCCAGTGCGAGTCCACGCCCCCACATGCCACGTACCGTACAACACAAGAGACAGTCAACACCATTGTTTTCGCACGCAAATGACCGTCCGCACGGCCGCTTACAGGGCCGACACAAAGCCAGGGATCTTGGACTGGCAGTAGTAGTGCTTGCGCGTGTACTGGCCCTTGTTCCGCGGCACGGTCCAGCCCGAGAGGCTCGAGACGCCCATGTGGCCGTCCGTGTTGTCGTAGGCTTCGTTCACGAGGATCTCCACGCCCTCTCCGTCCCCCGTGAGCTTCTCGCTCGCGGTCACGACCATGTACAGCTGCGCGACTTGGAAGTCGCTCACCGACATGTGCAGCGGCACGCGGAACTCGTGGATCAAGACCATGACGAGCACAACACGCAGACGACAGGGGCGACGACGATCGACGGACGCGCAGGGGGGCGCGCGCTGGCACGACAGAGGAGGGAAAGCCGTCGACTGGCTGACTCGTTCGTCCCGCAGCTGAATAAACCCCAAAAGATCACGTCAGAAGCGCCCGTTGCGGTCGGCACCACTAGCACCAGCAGCTCCGTGCCACAAATAACGCGCCCCCTTTTCAACCCGTACCCCCTCGTATACCCCCCCCCTCCTCCTCATTTCTAACCACAGGACCAGCACATAGAAACGCGTACCCACCCACGTCCCCACCCACGTCCTCTCTTCCTCTCTTCCTCTTCTTCTCTCTCTCTCTCTCTCTGTCTCTCTCTCTCTCTATCTCTTGATATGGGCAACAGCGACAGCAAGAGCAAGTTCCGCGAGAGCGTCTACAAGCTCAACAACGAGGTCATCAGCGCCAAGAGCCTCGAGTTCTGGGACAAGCTCTGGCGCATCCCCACGGTCGCCGAAGAGATCTTTACGCTCATTCAGCCCGACGACGTGCGCATGCTGCGGCACCAGCAGCCCGCGAACTTGGCCACAATGCTGCGCCAGGCGGTCTCGCAGCTCGTGCAGATCGTCGAGACGCCCGTGCCCAAGTACTACCAACAGGCGCTCAACTGCGTGCGCGTCTTGACGCGTCTCGTGCCGTTTATTCTCGAAGAGGGCGGCGACGACTTTGTCGAAGAGCTCTTTTGGCGCGGACGGAGCAGCGACAGTGCGTTGCAAGCGGACAAAGTGGAAGAAGAAGAAGGAGAAGAGGCTGACGATGAAGGAGACGATGGAGCGCCCCGTGCGGCGGGAGCGGGCGAGCCGCTGGCCACGCAGATGATCCACGCGATCATGGGGTTACTCTTCTTGCCCGAGTTCACCGTGTCGATCCACGCGTACAAGGGCTACGGCGAAGAGCGACGGAGCGCCACGCGCAGTGGACAGAGCACGACCAGTGGGGGGCTCGTGTTTCCCTCGCTGCTGTGGCACTCGGGCGTGGGGTACCCTGACGCCAGTGTCGTGCACGCGTCGACGTACGACAAGAACCGGAAAGAAGTGCTCGCGCTGCTCTTGACGTGCTTCTCGAGCATTTTGTACCACAAAGCCGAGACGTGCAGTCAGTGGAAAGATCCGTTCCTGGAAGTCGCCACGGCCCCGGCGTGTCCGTTTGCACCGACGCTGTTCTACTCGCTGCTGAACATTGTCGTGTCGTACGATCCAGTGGGGTGGGGCGTGCCGTACGCAGGCTCGATCGTGTCGGACGACCGGGAGATACTCGTGGACCTGTCGCTGCAAGTGCTGCTAGTGCTGCTGGATTTCGGGCAAACGTCAGAGGCCAATGTCACGACGTCGTTGAAGCCGCAGCTGGGGAGCTCGACACCGATTGTCGACCGTCGCATGTCGGCTGTAGCGCCGAGACCGTCGAATCCGTTGTTTGATGGCGTGCCGAACACTTATCGTGCCTTGCTGTCGTCACTCCAGCGACCCGAAGACTTTAAGCTCATTTTCTCGGGACTTTCGCGGCTGCTGAACAACTACCATCAGTCCATGAGCACGTTACTGCCAAACTCGATCAAGCAGATTAAATGCCACCAGGAGCTGCTTGTTTTGTTGTGGAAGATGCTGGACGAGAATACAGAATTCTTGCAATATGCACTGAAACAAGCGGACGCCAACCAGCTCGTGGTACCGCTGCTGTTCTTGATGTACGAAGGCAGACAAGAACCGGCCAAGGTAGGCATGATCCACATTTGCACGTTTATTTTATTGTTGTTGAGCGGTGAACGGGATTTTGGCGTAAACCTGAACAAGCCGTTCAACAACCACCTGCCGCTGGATCTACCGCCGTTTTCCGGGAACCACGCCGATCTCCTGATTGTATGCTTGCACAAGATTATCGTGAGCGGCTACGAGAAGCTCAACTCGGTGTACAACTGCTTCCTCACCATCATTTGCAACATCTCACCGTACTGCAAGAAGCTCAACATGGTGTCAGCTGTGCGCCTGATGCGTCTGTTCAAGCTCTTCGCACAGCCGCGATACCTATTTGACAACGAGGCCAATCATCACTTGGTTTTCTTCCTGCTCGAGACCTTTGACAACATCATTCAGTATCAGTACGAGGGCAACCAGCAAGTGGTGTATGCAATGATCCAAGCCAAGAATGTTTTCTACCAGCTCAATGATTTGCAGCTTCCGCCCATTCGGGCGGCTTCGTCGGAATCAAAGAGCATGACCAAGAAAGAAGGCGACGGTACCGAAGAAGGAAAAGAAGAAGAGAAAAGTTGTTCCGATGGCGAGTTCGTTCCTACAGTCGAGTGGCTGGCTGCCTGGAAGAAGAAGCTGCCTTTGACGACGAGCCTCCGACTGCTTCAGCACCTCATTCCGCAGCTGGAAAGCGCTTGCCAGAAGGCCGGTGGCAGTCTGGACGAAGATGCGATGCTGTATTTCTTGCGTACTACTACGATGGTGGGCCTTTTGCCTGTGCCGCACCCAATCGTGATCCGAAAATACCAGATCAACCAGTTCACGCACCTGTGGTTTACCACGTTCACCTGGGGCGTGATTTTCCTCCGCAACCAGATGCTTCCCCTCTTCGACGGCGGTGCCATCACTTTATTCACCATCAGCGTTCTATGAGAAACAAGATGCACGAGAATGACCGAGATGCACGACGCAAGTGGACAAGTGTCGTAGTAAGACAGCGGGTTTATTTTTTCAATCTTTGCACATGCGTTGCGTCCGTCAAAGTGATACACCTTGAGCTTGATTCGAGCAGCTTTGACCGCAGAACCTATCGCGCTTGTGACGTGAAACAGTGCTGCCACTCGCGCACGTCTATCTCTCCGTCATGGCGATGACAGGAAGTGGAGAAGAAATGTTTCCATACCTTCAGCTCGCTGATCTGCACCTGCTTGCGCGACCTCAAGCTCGTGTGCGTTCCGTCGTAGACGTTCTTCGGGGACGAGTTGGCTAGAACCTACGCTTGAGACTGTTGAAGCCGTAGACGAAGTTGAAGCTGGTTGGTACTCATCTACGGCCAACACGCGACCCGCGTTTGAGTGTACCAACTCCTTTGACACGCTAAGTCTGCACGGTGACACAAGACAACGACCGAATACAAACGCCAGCTTCTCGGGCGTAAGCTTGTTTGTGGCGCCATGTTTGAGCACTTCGCGCAAGAAAGAGATTAGGTATACCACGATATTGTAGCGCTCGGGCGACAACGTATCAAGCAATGCTCGACACCCTTGTCCGACGATCCCGTTCGTGCTTGTCACTGCAACCGTCAGTGCTTCGTCCGGCACTACGCTTTGCCGCAACGCTTGGAGCCACCGCACGAGCAACTCTGCTGCGGAGTATCCACTGTGTTTGGGAAAAGATGCACCCGTGTCTAGAGCTTCTCGCAGCTGCACAATCTCCACCTTATTACCCGCCTCAACAAACAGGTTCTTTTCCTGCATGTGATTCTCATAGATATCGTTCACCATGCGCCAAAGTTCCTTCGGCACTTTTTGTAAAGTACTTGTTGGTGTAGGGCCTGGCGCTTCCTCAAAAGCCTCGGGATGAATCAATGCATTGGCATTAACACCTGCTGCTCCACCAACCCAGACGCTAAACACTGATGCCGCAGGAGAGCGTAATGTCGTGAGCTCGACATCCCGGATAGGTTCCGAACTCGCCAGTAACTGCTCGATCGAGCTTCCGAAACAAGAGTTGGCGTATTGTCCAGAGACAACCAAGAAATAGTCACGTCCATTCTCGACTCGCAAGATCATTGTGTCATCCAAACTTTCCACGCCACTGGTGAGACCATGGGCAACGTCCTCGTTCACGAGAGCAGTAATGCAGATTTCCATCTTCTCTCTCGGCGGGATCATGCCAAACATAGGCGTAACACTTAGCCAGGACTTGCATACGGCCACATCCTCTAGTTTCGGAATGAACCGGAAGTGCGTCACAACGAGTCCTGTGTTCTCAACAATCACTTTCTTGCGCTGCTCGACGCCAAACTTTAGCTGCGGAAACAAATACACACCGCTACTCGTGGTATCACCATCTTCTTGAAGTAGGCGGACCTTTGGCATGTTGTCGTTCTCCCATTTATCCAGCTGCATCATGATGTCACGCATCACGTCATTTCTCTTGGACTCTACTTGGTACTTCACCTGCACGTCAAAAAATGCATGGACAGGCTTGTGGTCCGACATTTCGAGTGCAGGGACCGAATCGTAGCTGATAAGCTTTACATCTGACGGATTCTTTGCCCTCCATAGAATACGATCACACCAAGCCGGAGCCCGAAACTTTTTTTCAGGCCGTCGTTCATACTTAGACGTCCCAGCTTGAAACTTGTACGTGGGAGGGAACGTCAGAGCCCCTTCTTCGAAACCTTTCAGCACGTTCCCTCGCTGCCGCTCAATCGTAAGTTGGTCATGCTGCACGAGCTCGAGCAGAGACCTGCCGCTTTCAACGAGACGAAAGACCTCTTCTGTTGTCAACGTCTCCTGTATGCGGTAGTTCAGATCCCCGAGCCAGAAGACGAAATCATGGGTCAAGATCGACGGCGCACCACTCCAGAACCTGCCACACGGTTGCGCGACAACACTGTCGGAACAAGCAGTACATTTATCCAGCGCCTACCACGCACGCGACAAACGCACCTCATATCTTGCACCGAGGCAGCTGCTTCCTCTGGCGCGTTTTCACCAAAGTCCACTTTGCTCAGTATGTTGAGGTAGTCAGCATTCCTCCCGGCGACGTTCTCTCGGTGGGCAGCCAAGTGCGCACATACAAAGCAGAGTGTGCTGCTGTAAAACTTGAGGCGCACGGCCGCTCCGCCTTTATTGCCCATGACGCCCATGATCCCGACCCCCGCCGTCGCGCCTTTCACCTCCTGCACGTGCGCGACATGATCAGCCCGCACAAACACGAGCAGCAGAATCCCCACGAGGTGTTTCTCCAGCACGACGCGGTACTGCACAGGCGCCCGCGCGGCTTTGTCAGGTCCAGTGGCGTCGTGGTTCAGTGCAAAGAGCACCGCGTCTTTCCACGCGGCGCTCCGCTGCACGGTCAACGTGCTGTTCACCACGACGTTGACAGCATTGAGGTCCACGATCTCCTGCAGGCCGAGCGCGATGAGGTCCGGTGGCGGCGGCGGCGGCTGTCGTTTGCCAGTGGGTCGTGACTGGAGCCACTGCGCGAGCTTCGAGGCGTCGGCCGCCGTCAGCGGCTTCTTGGCATTGACGTTCCACGTGCCCGTGACGACGCGAGTGGAGCGGAACTCGGTGTACGCGGCCTGTCGCAGCAGCAGTTGCTGCTGGATCCAGTCGTCCCGGATGATGGACATGACCACGGGGTTATAGTACTTGGCATTGTCTCGCGCGGCCGCCGACGAGGGCGCGGAAGGGGACTGGGTGGGACCGCTGGGAGCAGAAGGAGGAGGAGGAGGAGCAGCACTTGTTGCTGCGGTTGCTGCGGTTGCTGCGGTTGCGGTGGGAGGGCTGTGGGCCGCCATGAACGGCGCAGTACGTTGGTGGGGCGCTGGACTGCGTCGTTTGGTAAGCGGAGTGGCTGCTGGCAACTTGTGCGAGACGTCGATGTGTGGGTGGGGGGGGTGTTGTCGCCTGCGGATGCGAGGGGACGGTCGGGTGTGTGGATACTTAGTTGAAGCTCGTTCGATGAACACTGGCAGACGCTGTGCGTGCGCGAGTGGACAGGCGACTGACTGACTGACTGACTGACTGACGGGTGCGATTGAACGAGAGGACGCGAATAAGATATGTTGCGTCCTTTGGTCACAACGGCAAAAGGCTCTGCAGAAAAAAAAGTGTCACTCGGCGCGTCATATCGGCACTTTGTTTGCTGGAATTCAGCGCTGGTCGCTGTCGTCGCGCGTCTCTTGGATTGCGCCATTCTGTCGGTAGAGCTTGGAAAGCTAACGTCTGAATGGCTGTACCGTCGAAACGACTGGATGGAGCGGGGCCCGAAAGATAGGACGACGTGAGTGGCGCAGTACAACTCGTGTCCATTGCTGCTGGCAACGACTTTTGTCGCGTTGTCGACACGTTGCAAACATAGTCAGCACTTTGACGTCTTGTGGCGTTACGACACGTGCCGCGTGATTGAGGATTGAACGCATTCAACTGCTACTGCACGGCAGGTGCAATCAAGACTTTGGATTGTTCGTGACACTCGGAACGCACGCGCCTTTCATTCAGCTCGAGGGGCGCGTTTTTAAGGACGTTTCGTCAGGTATTCTCAGAGACTGCACCATGCGAAACACTGATGACTGTCTGGATGCATCTCGTGTCAATCAACGAGAAACGTCGCGTTCGATCAGGTCTTTTTTCCTCGAGAGAGAAATGCATTACACGAAAGACGGCTAAATATGCGTAAATGTTTCTTCTTTTGGACCAGAAGCCTGGAGTGAAAGGGACATTTCGTGCCAAAAGCTCGACACGGCCGTGAGACACTGCAGAGATCGTTGTCACGCTCAGAAATCGATCGAAACGCCCGAAATTCTTCGCTAGCGCAACCACAAACTACTCGCTGGCCACAAACCGATTGTAAAAAACAAACACTGCCAAGCAGTCGCTTGGTATATTTCCCACTGAAAACGCACAAATCCCAACAACATCAGCGCGCTCACAACCAAATGCAGTGACGGAGTGTATTATTTTTCCTCCCGAGCGAAAACAACGACAGCGACAATATGGCAAGAACAGCGACAATATAGCAAGAACAGCGACAATATAGCACGAACAATAACAATATAGCAAGAACAACAACAACAACGAAGGACAATTTCACCACCAACAACAACAGTTTTGACAAAAGACGACACAACACATTCCACGAGAAGGCGTGGCGACTCTTAACTTCTCCGCGCAGCTCTCCGCCTCTCCGTCTCTTTCCCTCTGCAGCCCATGGACGGACGCAGCAGCAAGTGGGTGAACGTCGACTACACGAACCGCATCCTCGAAGAGTCCACCGCGCTCCCTCCGTCCTCCTCGTCCAGTGCAATCGGACCTGGCAGCGACTCTACGTTTGTGTCGGACCGCCCCGATGGCTTTCGTGCCACAATGTCGTCGTCATCGTCGCTCTCGCTATCACTTACTGGAGAGCCTGTGCAATCGACTATCCAAGTGACCGTGAAAGAGCCTATCAAACAAGGCGAGGGCATGAACGCCTACATTTCGTACAAAATCAGTACATCCACGAGCCGACCGCAGTTCGCCAAGAGCTCGTTCACAGTCGTCAGACGGTACAGTGATTTCATCTGGATCCACGGGCAGCTAAGTGCGCTGTTTCCAGGGATTGTCGTCCCGCCGCTGCCCGAGAAACTGCTGGTCGGGCGGTTCTCGCCGGAATTCATCGAAGGCCGACGTCGCGCCCTGCAGTTGTTCTTGCAGCGCTGCTGTGTGCATCCGGAACTGCAGCACAGTGAACACCTAACGACGTTCCTCGAAGCGAGTGAGGAGCGGCTGCAGGCGTTCCGGAGAGACCCGCGCCATGCAGCACCAAATGCCCAGCGGGGCGTGCTATTTCAGTGGCTGGACGAGACAGTGAACACTATTTCGTCCACGTTGTCGGTCACGTCGACGATCAACTTGCCCAAGACACCGGCCGACGTGGAAGTGGAGAGCATGATGGTGTACATTGAAGGCCTGGAACCGATCATGGCGGGACTGCACAAACATGCTCACGGCTTGACGAAACGAGCGCGAGAGATTGCTGATGGACTCTTTGAGTTTGGCGTATCGTTTACGTTGCTGGGCAAGTCAGAGGAGAACGCGTCGCTGCAGGAAGGGCTGAGCCACATTGGACATTGTTCCGACCAGCTCTCGACGTTAGCAGCAGAACACGCTGAACGCGAGGCACTGCACTTTGAGGAGCCAATCTTTGACTACATTCGGCTGGTTGGGGCAGTGAAGGCTGCGCTGCAGAAACGGCATGAAGTGCGATGTGCGTATGGCTCGGCAGTTGCCGACCTTGAAGCGAAGGAAGCCGTGTTGGCGAAGCTACTCAAGCATGCCCGGGGAGGCTCTGTAGAGGAGAAGGTTCAGCTGGCTGAGAACGAGGTGCGCACAGCTGAGCAGACTATGGAAGACGCCAGACTTGCCGACGACATCGTCACGGAGCGAGTTCTTCGCGAGGTGGAACGTTTTCGACGGGAGAAGCTGGTGGACTTCAAGCACATAATATTGGACTACATTCAAATGCAGATTGAGTATAGCAAGAAAGTGGAGGACGAGTGGCAAAAGGTCATCCCGAAGCTTGCGGCGATACAGGTAGAGAACGGCGGGTCGCCACTGGCATCGGCGAGCCCGGTCTCGCAAGTTATGACGCATGGTGCTCTCCGTGCAGAGGAAGAGGCAGCTGCTGCGCGTCACGGCCCGATGATACAGGAGGACTACATTCCGTCGAATGGAGACTTGGCGGAAAGTCTTTCGGATCTGACGCTAATGGCAAATGAGGGCGATGTCGAAGACCCTTTCGAGCACTCACCGTATGGCTCTCGGGCAACGGGCGACTCGAATCCGGACGTGTCGCTGTAACGAGCCTTCTCGCACGTGAAGGGTCTGGGGGGTATTGGCGATGATGGCGATTATATATTAATGTAAGCAAGACATGCACACTGGAAGCTGCTGTGTCTCTATCGTCTCGCCGTACGCGTCTGGCGCCTGTTGTTGTGTCGAGCAAGTGCTGCCGCGAGTTGGTCACGGGAAGGTAATATCCAGCGTGCACAACTGTCCTTGTAGCTTACATCTCGTGCAGCGTGCTTTCGCTTTTGCAAGAACTCCGTGCCATAGTACAGCGCCACGCCGGCAACTACACACAACATAGTTGAGAGCGTCAGCAAAACAATCTGGTTGCTTGATAGACCAATTCGCTGCCGAAGCGAAAGGCGCTTGAAGCGTGGCGACGGCACCGGGCACGTAGCTTCACCAGTGGTCGCAGCGGGGCCGGCCGTGAGGTTCACAGGATAGTCTGCGTAGAGGTAGAGGTTGCACGGTCCATAGTCACTGACGTTCTTGCCGCGGGCTATGCGCATGTAGCCGTCAGTGCCCCACATGGTGCCCCACGTGTTGCGGATTTTCCAAAACTGCTCACCCGCGTCAGTCTGCCCGAAGCCCACGACCACGACGGCGTGGTTGACTTCGTCCCCATCGCTGAGACAGTCTTGTGCGTCGTATATCCCACCTGCATAGTGTCGGAACCCGTCTCCCGTGGCATCAATGTTAGCTGTGACAGGTCCGCTTGCCACGGCGCGAAGCAGCGCCTGCTCATTCGCAGCCACCACTTTGTACGTTGCCACGTCCTTGTCCCAAGCCACGGCGACCTCAGCTGATGTCGACACGTGACACTGCATCTCTGTCGCATTCGTCGCCATCACGTACGGGTACGCGCTTTCGCACGAGATGCCGTGCGGCATAGCGAGATCCAGGTACGAGTACGTGAGGAACGGCATGCCGCCCGCACATCCTTCCGACGAGCTCGTCATGTTGTCCGCGTAGTGGCTCTGGATGTGGTCCAGAGCGGCCGAGCAGCTCAGCACCTGCTCGACACTCAAGACCGAAGCCGGGACGTCATTCTCGATCGCAAACCTCGACTCGACGACCGACACGCCTGCAAAGGCCCAGCAGCTACCGCACGTCCCCTGGTTCTTGATCGGTGTCATGTACTTGCCCCCCGCTGCCGTCGTCCAGTCCACTGCCGTTGGCACGTCCCCCTGTCGGTCGTCTTCGCTACCCGCATGGCCTCCGCCCTCTCCCACTATATCCACTGGCTCAAGCAACTCGGCACCCCCTCGTTTGTCCCGTGTCCGTCCTCTTTTGCCCTTCACCTGCTGCCCCCACCTCTGCGGCGACTGTCGCCTGCGCGGCTCTTTGTCGGGCCGCGCGCCCAGCCACGCGCGGTACTGCTCGTCCGTCCAGCCGCTCAGCTCGTTGTAGCCCAAGAAGTAGCTCTTTCTGCCCGCTCGGTGCTCGGCATTGGCCTCGTGGACCACTCGCGCAGTGGCGGCCCACGCAGCTGCCCGCGTCGCCTCGAGTGCCCGCGGAGGGCCTGTCATCGACCGCCGCGGAGCGCGCGTCGCCGAGTGGTTGGCCGCGTGCGGCCACGTCCCGCGCGCGTCATAAAGTGCACAAAAGACCAGAAAAAGGATCGGCAGTCGCATTGGTTTGAGACGATTTGGTCGCCACGAGGGAGAGGCCACGAGTTGTAGTAGTAGTGGTAGTAGCAGTTTAAGTAGTAGAAGTAGGAGTAGGAGTAAAAGTAGTAGGAGTAGAAGTAGTAGTAGTAGTGGTAGTAGTGGAGCCGAGAGCGAGGGAGAGACTTTGGTAGTAAAGGAGACGGTGCAAGTGTCGGACGAAACGCGATGGAAAATTGGAGCAGTAGGGGCAATAGCTCTTTGGGAGACGACGACGGGATTTGTGTCGGGGCATTTCCAGATTTTGAGCAAACAGTGCGCACAAAGTGGCACAAAGGCAGAGGGTTTCGGCTCGTACATGTAGTGCTCATCGAGAGAGAGGTAGTAAAATGTTTTTGTCGCTTGGCTATTGACGACGCCACTGGTTGGAAATGTTTGTCGGAGACAGCGGTTGCTTTCTGTATTGACTGGAGCCCCCGAGCTCTGTGTCAACAAACACGCAGATGCTTTTCCTGTGACGTGATAGCGTTTTCTTTTTCGGCCGACGTGGAAGGAACAGGTGAAGCAAAGCCTACGAGTGCGGTCGTTGTATGATCGCGAAAACATCCGTTATCGCGGGTGTGTGCGCTGGAGACGAAAGACACGCGAGCTGTTTGTCTAGTGTCGATTCGTTAGCATGCGCTGTGACGGCAAAGCGGATTTGGTTTCGTCGTACAAAGCACCTCAATAGCTGCGCGAGATGTTCCGGGAAAAGCGTCGTGTCCGACTCGATAAACGTGAGCGCCAAGTAGACATTTTTTGTCGGCATCTACTGGAAAATGCAGTGGATGTACGATCGCGAAAGAGTCGCAGTCCGGGGTGATCAAGTGGACATGGATGAGAGACCACAGGGATGAGTTTGTACGGACGCAGATCGCGCGCTCACACGACAGGTATCAAACCTCAAGACTTAGCGGCTCAGCAGACCGTCGACGTTCCCCAATCGTCTGCAACCGCATGCGCTTTACGCTCGCAAATTGATTTGATGTCCGACGGTTCGACACAAGGGCCGTAGGCGATCGGATAGACCTCGTAGTAGTTTCATGATGCAACGCAACTACCGCTTCTCGGCCGTTTGTGCCACGCGGAAACGTTCCAGTTTGACGCATCACGATCTTCACTATGTTTGTAGTCGACTTCTTCGCACGTCTCTCTCGCGTCTTTTTGCTCGATGGCGTGCAATCAACTCCAGGCCGTCTTTCGACCATTGCTTACTCATGACTCATCGAGCGTCCTTCGCAAAGCAATCCTTACTTGTTGTACATCTTCTTCTTCTTCTTCTTCAGCGCACGAGATGTCGCGTGATGTTTCGCTCACGTCGACAACGTGGCACGTCTTACTCGGGTATCGCAGATTGTACCATTCGGTTTCTTTCGTGCTGCGTTGCTTGCGCGTTGGCTCCAGAGACGTGGACCGAGAACGTGTCAACGAGTCGCACTTGAAGACGTTACGAGAGGACAAGCGCGTTCGAAGCGCAGCTCCTGCATAACCGATCGAGTCATTACCACGATCTCTGTTTAACAATCCATCCGAAGCATCGGCCCTACTAGCCAAAGGACGATCTCGGCCTCAGTATGCATCTCAAGCAACGTCGCTATTGCATGGGGGAGTCCATTTGTAGGCGCTCAGCGAGGACCTGTATAGCGTCGTCGACAAGTTGCGTACAAACCTTTACGGGCGACTGCTGCCTGCTGCAAAGACGCACACGAATTACACAATCCGAGCACTGCCGCTGCACGCGAATGTACAAAGGACATGATACGTGGACAGTGCAACAAGTGCCATGCAAAACACGGTTTAGTCTGTAGCCATATCGTGATAGGGTGCTAACATGTACATGGAATGCTGCGCGTGTTGATCAGTGGTGGTGGTCGAGTATGAGTTCATCGTCGCTGCCAAATACAAAGAGGTTTGTGTCTGCATTGAGCTCGACAAGAAACCGCTCGACAGCCCGTGTGTACCGCTACGACCAGCCTAGATGGTGACGTTGCTCTCTCCAGTTCGCACGTCCATTCTGTCTACAACCAGTAAATGCCATCCACTCACCAGTTATCTGCTCGTCGCTGGTCAGATGAAGCCGAGGCCGACAGTCGTTCGAGCGCACAACGTATACTCATGCTTCAAGCTGACACCAGAGCGGCAAGTCACCGATATGGTATACAATCGGGAGAAACACCTGGCGCAGGTCACACGCTGCATCCGTGCTTGCATTTGCTCGTAAACAACGTTTCGGCGCGTAAGGCACCAAAGCGTTCAGCGCAATACGCAAACCTTCCGTCTTTATTGATGTCAAGACGTGGTTGTCTCAAGCATCCTTCCTGTGACATCGATACAAGGAACCGTCAACGTCACTCCTGCTGTCGACTCATTCATCGACATCTGAGTAGCTAGCATTGCTCGTCCCAGTCGATCCCAACGGCGTGTACTCGGACCCTCATAAGTTCGACGCGGTGATGTTCCCTCGACGATCATCATTCGAATTGCTAGCAGCCGAATCATTGCAGCTCCGAGTCGGGAAAGCTCAATCTCCAGAAATCATCCGGTGTCTGGTAAGGCTCGAACCTCGCGCGGTGGCGTGAACAGTTGTGCTTCTGAGCCGCGACGTCGACCGCCCCGAGCTCCGCAAGCGCGTCGTAGTACTTTTTGCACTCAGTGCAGTCATGACCGGGCAGTGCTTTTCGCGCTTCTCGATTGCGCACCACTTCAATGTATGGAAAGCTCATCGATTCTTTCGACGCGAGCGGCTCTGTCCGGACCGTTGCTCGCTTGAGAGGTCCCGTAGCTGCCCGTTCTAGACGGTGCTCCCACGTCGTCGTGCGATGCATCGTTTGCTTTTCGTCTGCCCACGTCGCGCACACCTCATCGTTCCGTCTCTTCTTGACAACTGACTTGAATACTGCCTCGTTCTGCTTCGTCTCCACCACCGCCTTCTTGCTCGTTGTCTCTCGTTTCGTCTCTATCGTTGGCACAGGAGCGTCCGTTGGCGTCGACACGTTGCATTTGTCCCACGCGGTTTGCTGTGCCGTCGACGTACACTTTCCCTCTCCAAGGCACAATTTGACAACCTCATTGCTTCTAAGTGGCGGTCGTAGACCTCTTCTGTCATCCGTAGGCGCCGCGACTGCTCCTTCGGCTCGCGGGGTCGCGGTACTGGCTCTAGCGCCATCGAGCGCGCGCTCGTAGCGGTCCAGTACTTGCTGCTGCTGCTCCAGCGTCTGCTGCAGCCGCTTGAACCGTCTGGCAAGCGCTGCAGCCTCCTGCTCCTGTCGTCGTATCGTCGCGAGCAGCACCTTCTTTTCGTCCTGCCACGCCATCCACACATACGTTGTCAGAGCAAAGCGAGACGCGCGCGATGGTGTCGTACTTACGACAGACTGTACCCCACCGTCTCCACTTTCGCGACATCCTGCTGTGTTGAGCGAATGTATCCGTGCAACGCGACATCGTCCGACGTGGGACGATAGCGACGCTGTCGATTGAAAAAATAGAGCGCTGCACACAGGAGTTTTCTTCCACCGTCCGCACTACAAAAGTACCAAAACAAAAAGTTCTTTTTTCAACCTGCCCTCGTAGAATTAACATCGGTCGGCATCGCCGTGCAGCAGACCTCTCTCTCTCTCTCTCTCTCTCTCTCTCCCATCGCCATGCAGTTTTCTGTTTTTTTATAATGTCGACAAAACAAAGCGCCACCAAAGTCCTTTTGAGGTCGACCCACGACACCACAACACTCTATCCAGTCCCGCCGGCTGGTCCGTCTGTCTACCCACTACTTCAGTCACTTCACCACTTCTTACTTCAGCCGACGCCGTCTCCACTCGCAGTCGACTCCACTTGTCCGCCGCCGTCGCCCTTCGCCATGCGCCTCGACCAGCTGCGGACGCGCAGCACGAGCGCCCGCCCCACGACCAAAGCCGCCGACAGCGATGCGCGCCCGCGCCGCTGCCACAGCGTCATGCCGCGCGCGCCCAAGCCGCCCGTGCCCCGCCCACCCGCCCCGTCGCCGGCCTCGCCCTCGTCGTCGTCGTCGGTGTTACTTAAGACCCACGTCAACGCGGTCCAACTACCGCCAGTGGAGAAGCTGTTTTCGCGCGCAGAGCTCGAGCCCCGGACGAAGAAGAAGCTGGTGCGCGTGGCCAATGAGACGTCGAACGCGCTGATCAAAGACACGTTGGCACAAGACGAACCCGGAGCGGTCCTGTGGCGCCCGGCCCCGCGTCTGGGCGGCGCGCCCAGCGGCATCCACGTGCTTCGCGGCACAGCGCGAGACGTGGACAAGGCGAGCGACGCCACGCGCGTCCGCGCCGTCAGTGACAATGTGCACGCGAGTATCGAGGAGTTTGCGCTGCTGTTCAAGCTCGACTCGAGTCGCGAAGCCGCCGATCATTTACTGCTGTTCAACGCGGATTTGGTGCAACACGCGACGCTGTATACGCTGGTGGCGCCGTCTGGGCAGCAGCCACGACGCTACGTCGGGGTCAAGTGGGCGCTCGTGGCGTCGCCGTCACGGTTTTTCCGGAAACGGGATTTCTGCTACTTGGAGTGTCAAAAAGAGTTTACCGATGCGAAAGGACGACGGGGGTGGGTCCGGTCGCTCCATTCGCTGAAGCTCCCATGCTGTCCGCCCCTGGAGAAGGACTACGGCATCGTGCGAGCAAGTATCTATCGATCGGGACTCACGGCCGTGGAGACAGATGAACCCGGTGTGCTCAGCGTCACATACACGGTCGAGCTTGACCTGAAAGGACGCATGGCGTTGGAATTGTTGCAGCCCAAGTTTGTCGCTCAGCGCGTCGCAGCGCTTGCGACGGTGGACAAGCTGCTGCAACAGCAACGACTCAGTAGTAGCCCGCTGCTGGGCGATTTGGACATTCCCAACAAAAGACGCACGCAAGGCAGCTGCAATTTGTGCTTTCGTGAGTTGGCGCTTTCAGGCGGACTGAGGGACACGCTGGCGGCGATAGCAAACCGATCCACGAGATCAAAGCGGTATGTATGTCGCAAGTGTGGAGAAGGCATTTGTCGACGGTGCAGTGACGATTGGTGGCTTGATGTACCCGTTGTAGGGCGTACGAAAGTACGCATTTGCACGGTTTGTTCCGCTGAGGCAAAACAGTCGCACATTTCAGCGCACGGGGTACATGCTGGCACCTGCCCGATCAGGGGATCCGACAGCGAGTCGTTAACGCAAGTCGAGGGTGAAACCCACCCGAATTTGCTGGACGCACCGCTGCAGCACGCGAAGCGACACTCGCTGTCGATGATGGAACGGTGCGATAATGCCGCATCATTTTTTGCGCAGCAAGAGGAAATAAAGCATGATCTCGAGTTGCGGGCTACCGAGCTCAACCAACGCGTCAAAATATGGGATGATATGCAGGTACACGAGCGCGACACTAGCGTGAGACCAGATCAGCAGCAGCAGGCACAAAAAGTGTTGTTGCAGGAGCAACGCAAGCGCAAAGCGAAAGCCCGCGAACAAAAGACGGACCAGCTTCTTCGCCATGTTCCTTCATCGAGTTTTTTCGTACATGAAGAAGAGAAACAAGAACTCGAGATAGAAGTGGTGTCTCAGCATCCGCAACCCCAGAGTATCTCTACGCACGAGAGCGAGAATGCAGAACGACGGCAGCGCGTCGACCAGATTTCTTCGTCTGTGTCATCGGAGGACATCAGTAGCCAGGAATTTAGTGATACTGAGGGAGAAGCTGTCATCAGGCTGACAGCTGAAGCTGGAACTCGACTGTCGTCGCACTACCGCGATAGTGATTTGTCGGATTACGAAGAGCATACGATCGATGGCTTGGGCGAAATACGCACAACCACGGATATTACGCGGTGGTGGCAAGACCAACAGCTGCCAGGCCACGCTGGTGAACAGGAACAGGTCCGTCTGCGAGCAGATCTCTCTCCGGTTTCGTCGTTGAAGAAGGATACGCAAGGCGGCAGTCATAACGGGAATGAAGGAAAACGTGAAATGCGTCAATTGCAACAGCAGCCGGTCCAAGTGGTATCAGCTGAGAAGCAGGAGTCAGTTCATGTGTCACATCACCAGAAACAAGAGTCGATGAACGAGATCCAGCATCAACGACACAAATATGACCCCCAGCAGCGACAGCAACTGGAAGAGTTTGAAGAGCTGGCTCGATATCAGGAGGAACAGGCGCGTCGTCGTCAGGAGTCTGACTTTGAGGAAATGGCGCAGTACCAGGAGGAACAAGTTCGTCGCCGACATCAGTCAGCTGACCCTGCAGTCCGCCGAGGTGATTCCCAAAAGCCGCACCGTCTCTCTCCTCCGCCATTGAATCAGATCCAGCAACAAAAAGAAAAGTCAAAGCATATGCTGCGCAATCATCAGGTAGGTGGGGTCGATCATTTCGAGTGCAATGTCCAGAAGAATGGTTTACAGTCCTCAAAAGATTGGTACCTTCAGCAACAGCGACAGCAGCACCTTGATGTGGCGGAAACGAAGCATGCTTCCGTCGGCGCGAGTCAAGCACTCGACGAAAGTGTTGGCGATGACGTCGAGTTGATGGAAACGTCTCAGGGTGAATGGGTCCCCGCCAACCAGGCCCGTGTCAGTAAGACGGTACCAGCAGTTTCCTCTATCGTGAGCTCGCCGAGACGCAATCTTGGATTCTACAGCTGCTATGGATCTTCTGAAGATATGTGCGAAAAAGGCTCGGAGAAGCCCAGCTGCAAGTGCAAGACCAACGCGTTCACCCCGACAGAGTCTGTTGGTACTGTTCTATTCGACGGAAAATGGATCAGTACCCCAGGAGCATCTTGAGCTGTCATTCATGTGTGATAGTAGCTTACGTCATGACGGTATGTATATAGGTTCCCCCACTGATGCGATTTGGGAGTCGGTAACGCATACCACTTGTTGTATAATGTGGGAAAGCAATCTCGCGAATGCGTGTAATCAACAAACAAGTGAAAGGTACTTGTGAGGATACGTCGCTTCCATGACATCTCGTACTGGCCTTTCAAGGGACAATCTTGTTGGAAGTACACGCCGAGGCTTGGTGTAGGCGGCGGTACACTGCGCTCCTACAGTGCCGTCAGATTTGAAGCACCAGACGCGGTAATGCATGAGTTGACGCAGTCAGTCAGGGACGTCGTTGCTTCGACCAAGGCAATGTATGATGCGAAACAGAGTATAGGTGAATTTCCGTCATGCTTCGATTCTTACCAACGTCGATAGCGCCAAACCTCACTCGTACTAATCCACGGACGTCAAATCAAAGCCATCAGATTGGTCTCAAGCAAGTCATACGATTGATCCAGAAGAAGTCTAAACGTCAGTTGGTTCCGTCGCCAAACAGCTCAGTGAAGACCATGCACTCGCACCTTTTCTTATCAATCTACTGTTTAGAGACCAGTCGACCGCCTCGTCGACAAAATGGACACGAGCTGGTAGCAATATATGCGTCAAAGCCCCTCGAGCACCCAGTACATGTAGTACGTTCCTCACCAGCAGGACTATCTCCGTGTCACATGTCACGTGTGTCGCCCTCTCCGACAAACGGAGAGATAAACCAGTGACGTGTTCGCTTACAAAACTGCGGCATGAGCGCAACACAAACGCCCGCGCCGTTGTGGTTGCATACTATTGCCAGTCAACTCAACTCAACCCCCACAAAACGAAGGCAGTTGTATATGTTTCTTCTCCGCCACATTTTCGTAGCGACAAACTAGTCGTCTTTGCTGTAGGCAATGCTCAAGTTCAAGCGAACGTCATGTACAAGCGAACTAACATTCGTGACATGACAAATTGCTTTCAAATGAACTCTCGGAAATGTGCTTGAAAAGAGTGCCAGTTTGTGAATCTGACAGCTGCGTTAGCTCGAGCACAACGCCGACAAAAGGTCACTCGGGTTCGAGACAAGCGATTGTTTCTAGAGGCTAGAAGCAGTGGAACTACAGGCACCCGGATACAAAATGATGCTATCGATGATCCGGCGGATGAGGGGTAGATGCAAGAAAACTACTTAGTCTTATTGGCACTTGTATCGCTCCATAATATTAGCGGACGCTACAGCACGAGGTAGGGCTTACATTCACCTGAGTTTTTGTCCCGCTTTGACACTGCTTTGTCCATATGTACAAACGAGTGTCGGACTAGACACCACCACCTTGTTACTCTAAACAGGCAAATCTTTCCTTTCTCTTACATTGTTTCACGACAAGGCGCTTGACATTCATCGCTAGTTTCGTGCTGAGTTTATGCTGACGCTATGGGGCTTTGAGCATCAACGAAAGAACAACACTGAAAGCCGATCCTGATATCGCGTAGTTACAGCGCACGTCTTTATAACGTGGTAGAAGACCTAATTGCTTTGCTCATTTGTGTCCGAAGGTACTGCAGCGGACGTTCAATGACATCGGCATTTTGAAACAATATGCAGATCGAAAGTTGAGCGTAACAAGCGGGATCGCTAGCGAAGATGAAGACAGAATGACCGTCATGGCGAGTGAAAGGTTGAGCAATGTCGATTGCTCGATCTTTTTATCCAGGCCAATGTAGGCACAAGATGGAGTGGACTGTATTGCTCAATTGTGAGCGCACCGACGATCTTTGCACTGCACGAAGATCTAGTGCAGAGTTTGCCACGATTGAGCTCCACAGGGCCGAAGAAGACTACATTTGGTAAAGATAGGCTCACGTATAACTCGTGTGCAAATCTGTTCCATTAAACGTCGTACAGCGGGTTACCGTGCTACGTTTTGGGATGCATTCGTAGAGACCTGAGACAGGGACGTGGAAAATCTGTGACTGTCTGAGCGTCAAAACTGGTTAACGCACTCGTGCGAAGTGCAGAAGTCAAAGGTGTTCAACCATGTGGCTGAAACGGATGAAATTATCTTCTAGCACCAAGTGTTTGAACGTTAGATAGTGCTTCATGCCTTGCTATAAATAAATGAGAATGAATAAAGTCGTTGCAAGCCAAGCGCGCCGATGTGTCGACCATACTGCCTTCATGCTCTCGTCCTGGGCGCTCGACAATCTTGAGCCTCACTACTGTATCCAGCTAGCTTCTTCATGTCTGATATCCTCGAGAGAGCGTACCACTGGTCAGGCACATTAACATCAACGTCAATATCAATACAAGTATGTTGTTATTAGAAATTGTTGATGGAGCTGACGCGTCTGTCGTCGTCTGCAACAAAGCGCTAGGTGGGGCAAGCGAAACAAAAGTCGTAGAGCGGCAACATACATGAGCGCTGGAATGGAAGTCATGAGCTGCAAGATATATGCGCACGGAAGTCAGTTGAGCTGCAAGTTTTACCAAGTACAACATGATATTTGTAAGCAGGCACAGCAAGACCATGACTTTAGTCCTTTAGTTCGTAGTCCACGAAGCAGGAATTCTAGACCATGAGTCTAGTCTTCGGTTCGTGGCCCATGACCGAGCGCTATGGTATCTTGATCAGAGTCGAGACATTCAAGTAAAGCAGGCCAAACATTTGCTGTAGACGAGATATGGATAATTGTTGCTAACATGCAGGTCATATGCTTGTATGCGCTTTCGTACCGAGCAGAAGCTGTAAAGCGGACTATGTGTGCCACAGGACCGCTGGCAGTGAAAAGAAGATGACCCTTTGTGGTGTGTATGTTTGATGGAACGTGTTCTTGACGACCGTTGTTGTTGCGGAGCTACACAGCTCCTTAAGTCAGAGGAAGACTTAACGCTCTTACGAGCAACTTTGGTTCTACGAACCCGACTCAAAGAGTCAACAGCTCCGAGAGCTAAAGGGTGGTTCAAAGAACCCGACTCAGAGAGTCAACAAGCTCAAAGAGCTTACGGTCCCTGTTCCAGGGGGACCAAACGATTCAAAGAATCAAACGCACTAAGTGCACAAGGAGTAGCTACCTTAACAAGGCGTTGCTACCTCCTTACGATCGCAAGACGCCTCAGAGAGGCACGTGTCTTTTGTTGATCAAAATGGGAACTGAATTTTATTTCTTCTTTTAACCTAAAAGAACACCGTAGAACAAAGTAAATAACCTACTCACTTATGTCCTAAATAAACCTATTAAAAGATCTCGTAATCAATGGTTGACAGACATCAGTCTTCAACAATTGATACTTGTGTTCTAATATTACTTTAAAGGGGATCCCATCCCTTGTGTGTACCACACCTATTGTCGACTACCAGTCGACGTGTAACCCCGTTACACCCTCCCCCACCAGACTGACGTTTCCACAAAACGTCAATCGAATTCTTTCCTCGAAGAGGACGGTGTGTGTGCGCTTCAACCTCACGGTTGGCAAAACACAAAACACCATGGCATCGCCACCCCATGAGTCCTCGACTCTCTCGTCTTACCTCGGCATCGATGTGGATGTGGATTATGGTAGCGATACCGATATCCATGGTGACGAGAGGACAATGTCCGACTCACCAGTGCAAGAGGCAGCGCCTCATATTGCACCAAACCCATTTGCCGAGCGTGGCGAAGCCAACGCGCCATCGGCGCCGCATCAAACACTTATCGTGGGCGATGCCATCATCACTAATCCGCTCGATGAGCAACAACAGTTGGCTATCCAACGAGAGGAGAGCGCTCAGCGCCGTATGCAGCTTGCTGCAACCCTTGAGGGTCGTCGTGGCTATCTGTTCACACCACTCAATGTGGAAGAGCGTATACGCCAAACGACAGGTCGTTCTTTGGCAACGTGGGCCATTGGCGCTGAGCCAACATCTTCTGATGAGGTGGCGAGTCGACAGGCACTTCGTGAGAGGTACCTGCAACCCCACTTGACGACTCAAAGTCAATACAAGTTGCGACTTGACACGCAAGCACGGGGTGCACCGGTTCCACCGATGAAGGGTATACCCATCCTCTTATTCGCAGGCGAATCTCAGGAGGAAGAAGACAACGCTTTTGTTCGCTGGGTGCATCGGAAACGACACCTCAGCAGCGTGTTAGCTCTCAGAGCAAGTGCCGATGTGGCAGATGTTCGTCTAGAACGAAAGCTTCGGTATGATTACGCCAAGCTTAAGGCCAGAGGCCAGTTGCGAACTCGCACACGCTATGCTCCGGCTGTGCCGATTGATGTGGGTGTTGGTCAAGCGGTACCCAACTACCCACCTGCCTCCACCACTATTGGTGAGAAGCGCTCTCGGTCGAGGGATGACCCCTGCCACGATGTTCAAAAACATCAACGGCGTATGGGCAATCCTGCCGAAGGGGTGTCTCAAACTCCCACGAGTTCTCCGACTCCGGGTACCCTCGCCACTTCACCAGATACTGGTATTGACCCTGACGACGACGTCGTTTCAGGAGTCGCTCCACATGGAACTGGCGGTTCCCTTGCTCATCGAGCAGCGTCGGAGGTGGTCGGTATACCGAAGGAGGAGCATGAGAAGGTGCTTCTCGAGCTGAGTGGTCTCCGTGAGACATTGGGTAAGACCCAGAGTGCGTTTGACGCGATGCGAGCCCGTGTCCAGGCGTTGGAGTTGGGCCAAGCCCGGATGGAGGCTCAGCTTGACCTCCTGATACGGATTCAGCAACCGATGGCAAGGCCAACCTATGCGGCGCAAGCGCCTCCAAGTTCACGTGGGACGGATCCCGATACGGCTTAAGCAAGCCAACGTAGAACACGGGGTGTGTGCGCAGTTTGCGCGGAAGGTTGAGCGTATACGCAAGTCCCTTCTTGGCGACGACCGTGAATGGTCCAATGAAGCGCGGGCGCAACTTTGTCTTGAAGACGGCGGACACTACATTTGTAGGTAGGTTTTTAGCATTGAGTAGAACTTGGTCTCCGACCTCATAACGTT